TATTTATCGCGCGATAATTTTTCATTTATCGCGCGATAATTTCCATTTATCGCGCGATAATTTCCATTCATCGCGCAATAATTTCCATTTATCGCGCGATAATCTATCATTTATCGCGCGATAAAAAAAAATGTGTCAGCTCCCCTATGGGCCACCGTACATTTCTCACTTATTTCTTCCCCACTTTACAGACTAAAGATAGTTCATCTTTGCTGAGGTAATCTAGAAGCTAGATTATACTTAGGGCTGCAAGAGCTCTTTTGGGAATATTAAGCAAGAGAACTGTGTATGATATTTTCCAGAGTAGTGATCAGATACTTAAAATACATGTGTATTAAGAACTTAGAATATCATTGTGGGTCAAAGTGAATCGAAGTTTAAAGGTAACAAGTCAAAAGTTTAAGAACGTTAGAGCGATATTAAAGCCCCATTCAAACGGTCGTGAGCGTTGATGATAGTTTCTGCCGTTTGAACGAGTGGATGACAGTAAATTATGATTTTTCGGTTAACGGATTTGCCAAAAACGGACTCAAACCAAACTCGAAACTAGTGAAATGGCTAAAATGGCTGTCAGTTTTAAAGAATGTCTCGTAGTTCTTTCTCATATTCTCCTTAATTGCAGGCTTTCGTACCTTCCATTGGCATCCACTCTTTCGTGCTTCCTCGTTTGTGGTAGCCCTAAAAATTTCACTATAAAACTGTGGAAATAGCTGCTCTTCTTGGCTATCATCCTATGCTGTTAACGATTTAAACCGGTAGGATACTTTATACCTATTTTGGACACAATGAAACGTTTGAACATAAACGTAATAGTCAATAAAGGTAAATGATAGTCTCAACTACCATCAACTATCATCAACTGTCAGGACCGTTTGAATAAGCTTAAGGAAACCGCACCAATTCCTCAGTAAATGAAGAGATTTTGTCTGATCTTCGAAGTAGTAACACACTTGTTAGTGAAAGACCTGCATTAAGGATTAAGCAAATCATGAAACTAGACTTGACTGATATTTATTAGCCTTAATCGAGTGACGAGTTAATATTTGTGCACGGTTTTTTTCCGACTAGATATCCACGCTCGCGGGTTTTGGGAAAGACAACAATCTGCGTTCTTCGATGTTCGGGTGTGTCACCCAAACGCAGATTCGTATCGAGAACCGTCTCCGAAACAGATATTCAAACTACATGAAAATGAGAAGAAGAGGCAATACAGCAGGCGGGTTTTGGAAGTGGAGCAAGCGACATTCACACCATTAGTTTTTACAAGTACAGGTGGAATGGCCGATTAATGCAAGACATTCTATAGCCGCCTCGCAGAGTTACTTTCGTTAAAGAAAGGAGATGACTACGCTACAACCATATCTTAGATAAGGGCGAAGATATCCTTTGCCATTCTACGTTCAGCTTTGCTGTGTCTCAGAGGAGCCAGGAGAAAGAGAAGAATAGCTAATATATCTGACAATGACATTACATCTGAAAATGCGCAAGCCAGAATTTAAGTAGTCAATTTTTTATTAGGTATCTTAGCTTACTGAATTTTTCTTTTTTTTTTTTAGAGAACTGCTTTTCGTGAAATATTTTTAAGGAAAACTTTATTAATATTATTAAGGACGTCGATCATATATCGTCAATTTATTTGCTGTCCTGCTGAATGAAGCTGAAGCATAATAATGCAGACATAAGATGAACTTGTCTTAATATTTATACCTTAAGTTGTCTTAATTTTGTTTGTTATCCTGTATTTTTACTGATTTTGTGAAATTATTATTATTATTGTTGTTATTATTATTATTATTATCAATAGTGATATTCTTATAATCAACAGTATCATTATCAGTATCATTAGTAATATAATATAATATAATAATCAAGACTGCTGTTATCATTTATTCTGTGAAAGTGAGTTTGTGATATTTGTGAATAGCTGGTTTAAGGTTTGCAAGATAGCCGTATGAAGTGAACTTCGAAAAGAAAGTGCTGCACTTTAGACAATGTGCTTTACCACAGAAAGAGAAAATAGTGATAATGATTATTTTATTCATAATTATTAGAATCGCAATACTACACTCTTTATTTCCATAGGACTCATGATAATATATCTCTCTAAGTAATAGCACTGCAGCTTATGGCGCTTCATAGTTGGATGTAGAAGTAACTTTTTTGTGCGTTTATCACTTCTTTTGAAAACTTTTAAAATCTGAGAAATCATTCTCAAGAAAAACAATATATGCAAATCAAATAGCATATTTAATTTTCTTTTATATTTAATATAGGACAACAGAACAGAACAAGAAGTTCATCGGATGTTTCATTGGCAAAATTGTTGTATAAAAAACACAAACTTAATACGTAGCAAAACCTCTAATGCAACGATAAAGACGAAAATGGGCAAAAATAAAGTTGATACTTACTCACAAATTTTATCAACAATACGTACTTAGTCGACGCTTAATGGATACACATTTCTCTGTGAATCAGTTTCACCGAAGCTTCAGGAAGTTTATCCTGGCAGATGCACTCACTTGAATAGTTATGCGAATGTTTTTTATTTAAGTCACTCAGGAGTTTAGCCCATTTTCTGTCATGTATGTGTGTAGAATTGCTGCTGGTGAGCGCTGGATAGTCCGGTATCCTGTGAACGAATAATTTCAGTTTTTATTCTGTTTACTTTTTAGCGACGGTCAGGCTTTTGATGTACGACATATTTTCTCAATTTGAAACTGGATGACATGTAAATTATTCATGACCGGTGTTTCATTGCGCAGTTACACCACAATGTCATCTAGAGTAGAAACGAACATATTTGTTATTGAACAGGAGACAGTGAATAACGTCCGATGTTTCTTCAGAACTGCTTCTTAACTGCCGGGGTAACTCTTTGTAACACTTTGTATGTTATCCATCGACTTCTGAACCTTTCCTCGAACGGCCTTCCTTTTTTTTCTTTCCGTCTTTCACACTAACAGAGAATATCTATTGGGGGGTGGCTCTCACGGTTAATGGTTGATTTTCTCTTATTTTGACCGTTACAAATTCAGTCTAAGGCCAGAAAAAATAAAAAAAATAAACAACAACAAAAAACAACAACAACAACAGCAACAACATCTTCCTTCAACAACAGAAGTGCATTAGGGACTTGATCCCTCTAGTCCTGAGCGTAACATGTTTTAAGCGCCAAATAAATTAGAACCGCAGGAGATTTATCGCACGTGAACACAAGCACTCGTTTCACAATTACTCGCTTCAGAAAGAAACAAAATTAGCAAATAAAACGCATAAGGAAAGACTAGTACTTGGGAGTCCAACCACTGCTTGGGAGCGCGTCAAAGCCTTCCCTTTTAGGGATTCTATTCTGCAATTGCTAAATTTACTACTTCCCTTCGTAGATCATAGCCTTGATTGGTTTTCAACTGCTGGTGAAATAAAAATTTATCTCATGAAAAATTGTTTCATAGGAAAGAAGAACCCTCTAAATTCCCTCGCCTCCAGAGAGTGGCTTCGTAACTCAGTTATAACTAACAATCTGTCCATTATGATGATTGACACAGCACGAAAGCGCAAATTTACGACGGCTTAAATTTGGATTTACGCGACTTTACGCTCAAGTAAACGAGCCGTAAAGTTAACCTTTACGTTACGTTTAATCAATGGTGTAAAGGTGCGTAAATGAACACTAAAGCGACTGACGTAAAGTTGGCGGAAATGTGACACAAAGCCGCTTTTAAACAACAGCTTAAAGGCAGTTTTATGGTTCTGTAAAAGTAAATTTACGCTTCCCTATAGCGCATTTTCTTTAGCATGAAACTAGTGGAATTGTGACGCACGGTCAAATCACTCACATATCGTTAGTCGTGAATGATCACTTCGACAAACTTAAAACACTTCAGCACGGCGTAGTTAGCTAAGTCTCATTTGCGCTCTCAGTTTGAGTTCAAATTTAATAAACAGAGTGATTGAGGTAAGCACCCAATATATGCACCAGCTCCACGTTAAACATGTGGTAGCTGTTGAGAACTGTAAAACAGTTCTCCCACGGCGTGCGTATGGAGCTAGGATCATTTGTGACCTGTGTGCTCAAAACATAGTAAACAACACTAATGACAGCACTAAAGCACACTTACAATCCCCTGGTACGGCTCATATCGTACGCATCCGCACCACCATATCACCCGTAAGGTTGCAGCCATGGACAGCTGTTTCGCCTTTGTTGTGGCTCACTAACATGGCATAGCCAGCAGAGTCTATATTTGCATACGCAAGCTTTTGAGAAAAAGGAAAATTGATTTATTTGCTCAGCTTCGCCTAACTAGAATACAATCGGATATTATGTTTAGCAATAACAAAGTCCCAGTTCAGACCATATTTTTCAAAATGAAAAATTTTGCAAGCTTTTGACTCAAATAGGCTTAGACTGTTTTGGGGATGTTTCATCATTGTGCCCGCACAAATAATTATTTGTGCTTAACTATTAAAACTCCTACATCTCAAATAATTATATCATTTTATGTGCTCGATCCATTTGGGCTAAACAATAAACAACTTTACGTTTTATTTACAAGAGATGTAAATAACCGTAAAGTCCACTCACAATCTATACGCAAGGGTTACGCTGGCTTTAAGCCCCTTTCGCGTAAAGCTTCCTTTACATACCCTTGCGTAGTACGTAAAGTTGGTTTCGAAGGCTGTCACAGCGAGGAAGTGGGCTGTGGGGGTGGGCTCCTACAGCCTCTGGAAGTGCTTCCCACGGCGTGCGTGTCAAATAGCCTCTGACAGTCATAGTCCAACTCCTGGCCTCCACGCGGCGAAACTGGCACTACTGACAGGAGAAGGAGCGAAGACGAGTCACTGACGCCTCATAACCTAGGGTAGATGGGGCTCTTTAGCCGCGGTGAAGGCAACCCATCTAGGGGAGGGAAAGCCCTGATTTTAAACTTCCGCTGCATTGAGGCTATACCTGATAGCAGGAAAGGCTTCAGGAGTAAACCTCGAGGTTAAATCAAGAGTGGAGCCCCTAAAGCGAAAGGAAGATGCACAGCACTACCTTCCGGCAGCTCCTGCAGTGAAACTGGCCCCAAATTGTGAAGGTTCATCCTTTCCCTTGGACTCAGCCAGCGGAACCGAGAGGGGGACACTGAAGTGTGGGCAACCCAGCGTCTCTATATTAACCCGCCCAGGCCTTCAGCGCAAACTGGAGAGGTCACTCCAGCGGTTTTGCAAGATTCCGGCACAACACGGGATGAGGCAGTTCACCGGTTCTAAGCT